TCCAGGGTAAGTGAGGTGTTAAAGATGTCTGCCAGCACCTCACAGAGCTGATCAGCACATTCCTTCAACACCTTCCTGGGGATGTTGTCTGGGCCAGTTGCTTTGTGCGGATCAATCCTCCTGAAGGTACTCCTTACTTCTGCTGAGGTCACGCTGAGATGCTCTTCATCCGGTGGCGAGGTGAGTCTGGTGCTGGGTGGTCTGTTCGGGTCTTCAAAGCGTGCATAGAACTTGTTCAGTGAGAAAAAACAGATTTTTCATAAAAACAAGATGAATCCAGAACTTTTTATTTGGGTCAGACGTTCTGGGTCGGTTCTGGTGGTTCTGAACACAGAATGAAAAGAACCTGGAGACTGAATGATTTGTACCAAACATCTGAGCGTTTCTTCTCCTCGGAGGTTCTGGAGCAGCAGCTCAGAGTCCTGCGGTTTGAAGCAGAACCTTTCAAAATAAAGCATCTCTCTGCCTTTCAAAATAAAGCGTCTTTTTGTTTTTTCAAGTTTAGAAGCAACTTTTCTGACGAGCAGAAACAAGCAGACGTTCTTCATGTTGACCTGAGTTCAGCAGAAAATGAAACGGGTCCGAAACACGAAACCAGGAGGTTCTGATGGTTTGATCCAGAACCGATGCGGGTCAGAACCTGGACCTGATGGAGGACGGACATGTTCAACATCTGGACCTCACCACATCAGCTCCTGCACAACCTTCAGCTCATGAAGATGTTTCTGGTGTCAGCCTCTGAATCTTCAGACTCGTGACTGACCACACCCCAAAGATGGAGGCCCCGCCCCCACAGTGACCCCCCCCCCCCCACACACACACACACACACACACACGACTGTGAACAGTTCATTAGGAATGTGAGCCTTTGGGCTCAGAGTCAGACGACTTTCACTTCAAATGAAAAACAAAACAGAATTATTTATACCGTGTGTGCACGTGTGTGTGCACGTGTGTGTGCACGTGTGTGTGCACGTGTGTGTGCACGTGTGTGTGCACATGTGTGTGTTTGACTTGTGTTAGAGCACAGAAACAAATGCCTTCAGCAAGTTGAGCACAATTATAAAAATACACACATCCAGTCTTTCTGTCCCCTCTCTGTCTCACACACACACACACGTGCACACACGTGCACGCACATCTCTTACCTTTTTTAATGACAGAGTGGTCGAGGATGCCCAGGGCCGATCCTTCCTCCATCCCCTGCAACAAACACACACACTGTGGTTGGTGTGTGTGTGTGTGTGTGCACGTGTGTGTGTGTATCTGTGTGCACGTGTGTGTGTGTGCACGTGTGTGTGCACGTGTGTGTGTGTGCACGTGTGTGTGTGTGTGCAGCAGGTGCAGCTCTGACTAAAACAGCGAAACGAATCAATTCTTCGCTGTGAAAGAAAACTCTGCTGAGTTGATTTATGGATGTTTGGCTGTCACGCGATAGGCTGTGTGTGTGCGCGTGCACGTGCTGTCACGCGATAGGCTGTGTGTG